AATAAAAATATAGGCTCAACACAAAAATCAGGATAAAATTAATTTGGCTAGATTTTCTGAGTATTCACACTCGTGAATTTGGAAATTTTGATTTAAAAATGTGGCGGTGTTCAAATATCACAAATATCAGGATAAAATTACTCAAACTAGAGTTTCGGAATAACAGTTTGTTATAATTGGCACAGTCGTGACTGTTGAAAATTAAATAAATATGGTAAGCTTCTATTTACTTTGAATTTAGGGAAACTTAATATTGAAATTTACTTAAACTCCTACTCAATTAATTGAAAATATCGCCCATATGAAATAAAGAGCCTTTTGTGGTTCGTCTCTATTGTAAAGCAAAATTAATAACTTTATAACAAATTCATTAAAAAAAATTATCTCGTAAGTAGTAAAATATTTTTGAAAATTTTAATAAATTTTTTGCAACGTCAACATTTTATTATCATACCTAACCTTGTTCCAGCGGTTTTCCCTCTTTTGTATGAAATCACTTGACTTGGCAGATTTTGAAAACGTGCGTCATCATGAGATTATTTTAACTTCTAATTTACACTTTCCTGCCCAATTTTGGATCGCTCGGTGCTTCCTTTGACGATTTTTTGCTGGTGAAAGTGAATACGAAATTGATGAAAGAAATTTCTTTGTGGGTCCTCTTTTTGACGGAAAGCGGAGGGAAGAAAACATTCTATAGTATAAAAGGCTTTTACCTGTAATCGACCCATTATGATTATTAGCGGTTGAATAATTTCCATCGGGACATTATACGTGCCGAGCAGGAATTGGCGTCAAAATCGTTAAATACATTCGGAGGAGAGAGGCGCGTGTGTGTAATTTAAACTGCGCACGGTTGCAGACATTTATTATTTCGGTGCGCGCGTGATAGAGTGTAAATTATTCGCCACTTGGGAGCGGAAGAGGATTTTACCGGCAGGGCCACATTTGTTCACCGCGCCCGTCTGTTTCGGCTGCCACCATCGAACACGCTCTCGCTACACTATCTGCTTTCAATCTGTGCTAATTGATTTGTTCGCGTAAAAATATCGGCTAAAATATTCCGGCGCGCCTCGGGGCTCGGCGGAGAATTGATCCGTGGAGGCAGCCAATATATTTCAGTCAAACCGCCATCAAGTTCATAGGCTACTGATTTGAATATATATTCAGCCCGGTGTGCACATGCGGGGGTGAGCCCGATTTTCACAGAAGCACCTCGGGCGGACTTTTCATCTCGGCGGGCGCTCATATTGTTTCGCAATATGTTGCTTTTTTACGATGTTCGCATCGTCAGGAGAGAACAGATTTACATGAATGATCGTGCTTCAAACCATATTGTACATTGTGGTAACGGATTTAGCTATTTTGAAAGCGAAGATTTTGGTGAATCAGCTTTGTAAAATTAAAAATTTTAATGTTGCAGTAATATGAAGTTAAAAAAAAAAACACGAAACACGTTGAATTGCTTGAAAAAAAAAATTAATAAATGAAGAAAATCAACAATGGTTACGTTCAACGATGTTTAATTTTTTTTTTTTGCAAGTTTAAAGTGGGACTAATCTACCGTTCTGTATTTTCCTTCATAGATTTAAAAATAAAAATCACAATTTTTTTCTGTATACTATGTATTCTTAATATTCTTATCAGCATTACTTTATATTAATTGTTTTTTTTGTGAATGGATATGGAATGAAAAAATTTGAAATTTTAAAATAAATACAATTTTTGGAAACAAATCCATGAAATTTATGTCTAATAATATTTATTATACGATCTGTTATAATTGATTTATAAAATTATATTTTAACAAAGAATTAAAATAAAACCTATTTAGGGATTAAAAGAAAAGCTATATCTTGCCTGAAAGATAAAATTAGACAAAAAGAAAATTAATACCTAATAAATATAAAAATAATTTATAATTAAAAATTGTTTTATTACAATTAAATTAAAGATCTAAAACGAAACAAAAGCTATTAATTTGCTCAAATTATTAATGCTTGTATAACTCTTTCATTCTATTTAAATTTTTAGCTTTTTCTGACGCAAATTGTTCGAAAATAATTCAGGATTTTATAAAATTTTTAACGTGCGAGCTAAAAATCTGAATCCTTTTCCTTTTTCTCTCCAATTTTTTTGTTATAAAGCTTTTAAAGTTTAACGCACGCGAGGGCAATATGAGCCATACCGGTAAAACCGCAGAAACAAATTTACCACGTTCGCTGGGGAGAATTACCCGGCCGAGCTGTGGGTGGAAAAGCATTATTTCCAGAGAGAACGCGGCGCCAGATTAGAAGCATGAATGATTTTAACAGCTATTTTACGACAAATAAAAAGCAAGCCGGGGGTGCGAGGCGCATATAAAAGGAAGACGGATAGGAATGCCAAACTTTAATTCTTTATTGCATTGTTCCTTTTCCTGGATAAAACGTGAGAGGAGTGTGGGTGGGGTTGAGAGGGAAATGCAACCGCACGTTATTTTGAGAGAGAGAGCGCAATTGTGTTCGGCGCGCGGTGAAATAACAGCAGCGCCGAGCTAGAGAGAGGCAAACTTTTCATGGTTTTCACTCACTTGAAGCGAGAGGCACTCACTTTTGCTCCAACCAAGGGCCCCTTGATCCGAGCATATATTTTATTAAATAACACGCCTCGACATAATAATAACGGGGCGGCGCTCGCGAGAGCGACGCGAAACTTTTTCATTGTATTCCGGGGAACACACACACACGTATACGTTATTCTCTTTCTCTCTCGCAGGCGCGTAAAATGCCAAATTAAAACTTTGCTTCGCTTGATGGCAGAGCGAAATTTATTTGTGCCGATAAATCAATGGTGGCTGCGCTTTTATTAACTTTCCCCATAAAGCACACACACACGTCCACGCGGCGCAAAAAAAAAGCTTTTGAGAAGAGGAAATAAAACTTTTGAAACATTGCCCTGCTCTTTTTGCCATTTTAATCTTCATGACGATCCGCATTCACGCAGACACCCTCTCACTCTTTTTTTTTTTTTATCATTCGCGCCCGAATTGATTTTGCCCGGCGCGCGTGTTTGCATAGGCTTTCCTCTCTCTTTCCGTCTCTCTTTGTGTGTGCGTTTGTCTTCAGCTCGAAATGATCTGAATCGAAGAAGTGGCACAAAAGCCTTTTCTCTTATTCCGACGGCACATTTCGAGAAAATTTCACCTCTTCACAATCCCCCGGCAACTCGTTAAGATTCGCTCTGCACTTTGCAATCCGAGAGCGGAGATTTCATATTGTTTTATATTTAATTAATTCCGAGTGGCTCGGAGGCATTTCAATAAAATTCCATTTAATCGATATGATCGGCAAGTTTTAAATTACAAAAAACATAAGTTAAATTCAATGAGAGCCAAAATTAACAAAATCCATATAGATAAATATTCGATCTCATAGAACAAATGATCCAAGAAATCACAAAAAAAAAACTTTACACTTGGATTATTCTCACACCAATTCTGTATTATTTCTACTAAGTTAGCAACAAAATTAATCATTTTTACTTTTTTTTAATTAAATATAAAATGTTCATCTTGCTCACAATACGCTAATGGAATTTAGCAAATGTTAGCATCAAAGAAGAAGGAATAAATGGATGGTATAAATAGTGTTAAATAAAATAGCTCTGTAAAATTTATTTACATCAGCTTTTGTTATTCAATTTTTCGGTGAACAAAAATAAACTCATAAAATGATACTAAAAAAAACTTTCTTCTTGTTATTCGCAATGAGATTACACGCGTCGTAAACACTAAGCATCTGTCACAAAACCCTACTTTACTGGTTTGAATGAAAAAACAAATGAAAACACGTTAAAATTCACTTAGAAAAGATTACAAATTACTAGCTAAAACAATTACAATTTATAATAGTTGTTATTCTTTCTGGTAAATACAATTTAATAATCGCATATCACGCATCATTTTGTTTAACTTAACAATTTATTATTTTTTTTTTTTACCCTTCTTAATGCCTAGTAATAATTGTGAGAAGACTCGGAAGTAATGTTATATTTTGTTAAAAATTGTATAATTATGATTTTATTGATCTGAATGATAATTTTTCTAATCTGAAATTAAATATTTCTGAAGAAAAAATAAATGATTGCAGAAATGCAGTGAAATTAACCGTGGTATTTGATAAATATGAAATAAGAAATGTGTGGGTGAGGTATAAATTATTTATTTGTTAAAGGAGAGAGAAATAAATAAAGTAAGTGCTCTATAATATTATTTAATGGGCATCTATATTTACTTGCGAAGTCAATATTTTCCAACAGCTATAACAACCAATCCCTGACAACCAACTAATCGGCTTAGGCAAGAAAACTTAAAGAGGCAATTTCTTGACTCGTCTCTCTCTGAGTTAATACGTCTTTGGAAACTTCAAAACCCGTCGCGTCTTTTGATGCGAACACGATGTTCGGCGTTGTACACCGAGGCAGGCACCAAAGGACGCCGCCGCACGCACACTTCTTCTTCCCTTTGTCGCAGCGGAATTCTCTGAGCACGCGGCCACTTTTGAGAGTTTTCGCCTCCGCAAGAGAGCAGCTCCAGCGGAGATTCAAAACTAACAACCTTCGGTCTAGAGGGGGCGACAAAGTAAGCACATCTTTTCCCAACACGAACACGACGACCCTTGTGTGCCACAGGTACACACTCGACCGGCCGACCGCAAGATCCAAGCAAGGGTTAATAATGAAGCAGAGCGCTCGGTGATCAACAATGGCCATTATGACAAAAAATTAAATTAATTTAACAAATTTATCTTGAAAATTTAAGTAGAATCAAAATAAAATGGGTGGTTATAAATCATTTTAATAAATGGAAAGACGGTAAAAACTCAAGAAACTGAGACAACTGAGTTTCAAATTTGAAACATTTGGCTGTTCATGGAAATCAATAGGGACGACACCACGTGGCTGGATAAGGAATCACGATTCGCGCCTTTTCTTCCGATTCAAGCATCAGCGCCACTGGTGGCCAAACTTAGTACTTAAAACCAAAATAAGACGAGAACGTTAAATTGTCTCGTTCCTCTTCAGAAAATATTGAAATTGCCCTAATATCTTCCTAGACAACTGCGTGGGTAGGTCAATTTAATTATCTAAATTAACGTTAATTAACCAGCTTTTAAAATCAGCAGAGTTCGAAGGCCGCAAAATGGCGGAAAGGCGCAAATCGCAGCTGCCCGAGGATTTCGCAGAGATCGTCGAGAACTTCAAACGGCACGATTCGGCCTCTCGACCTCGCGTCGGCATGAGCAACCAAAAGTTCATGGGCTTCGCCGCCCCGAGCAATGTCTCAAGCACTTCCTTCCTCGAAGAGAGCACGAGGAGCGTGACCAAGAAGCTGTTCTTTGAGGCTTCCACGGTCAGCAACACTTCCTACAGCGTCCCGACGGACGTTCTGCTGAGGAGCGCGGCCAAGAGGAGGAGCGACGCCTCCGACGCCACGGATTTTGCCTCGCCAACCAAAAAGTTTCCAACCACCCCTGGAGGTATGCATAATTATAAAGTTTTATATTTACAGTAACTTTGAGTTTGAAGTTAAATTTGTTGTGGTTTTAAGTTTTAACCCATTTGAAATTTGGAAGAAAAAAATTACCAAATATTTGTCGCTCAACGGCAATAATTGAAAAAATGAGCTCTACGCGCGTTCAATTAAATAGAATTCGCGGTTTTTCCCTACCTTGAGGTCACAGTGATGGTTCCTGGTCCGTACGAGGTCCTTGGTAGGTTGGCAAAGTCCTTTGACGTCTCAAATTCAGCATGAAATGAGGGCACCAAAGCATGAGACGACTTTTTAATATATTAAAAAAAATAACATTAATGAAAAACAATTTCTGCAACAAGGGAAGAGCACGATTCATTAATTTCCATGATCATCTTCTTGAGTGTCAAATTCTTCAACTGTTTAAAAATAATTAAAATTAATCTTCGTATTTGCACATAAATAGTTGCTAAAATGACGAAACGTTTTCTTTTTTAATTTAAAACAAATAATTTTTTGAGCAGAATTATAAAAAGTTTAGTGGTAAATTTTTTTACAAATGTTTTTAAATTAATACAAATTTTTTTAAAAATTTCAACTTACATAGAAAAATAAAGCCAATTCTTCCATTTTTGTAATTTTGGCATTGCCATCAGAATTTTATTTACCTTCTCAGGACTCCAAGTCAAACTTTGACATTTTAATTAAGGACAAAATATTTTTCCGTTTTCTTGTTTTTTAAGATTGCCATGTGCTTTGAAAATTTTAAGAAGAGAAATTTTACCATAGATAATTTTATTAGCTATTTTTTTATGAATTTTATTATTTATTTATAAATTATCCTTTTATATGAAATATTAATTTAAAAGAAAGATGTAATTTTGCTCCAAAATATGATTTCTTTTAAAAAACGTTATGTCATTTCATCATCTATCAATTCATTAAAAATTAAAACCATAAAAAATGACTTCAGAGGCTCAAATTCGGCTAATTTTTTACTTTCAAATTAAATATTTATTTGATATAAAAGAAAAATTATCATCATCAGAAATTTATTAGACACTTTCGTGTACAACATAAACATACAGTATAATATCCAGATATAATACAATATAAAATTACATAATTTATTATATTTCATATTATTCTTCATCTGTCTTAAAATATAATAATTTAGAAGGAACTTTTTTTTCTGTTAACTTTCAATTGAGAATAACAATAATTAATAAATTCCATGGATTTCAGGTGGCATTGACTGGTCTCCGGTGTGCAGAGAGCAAAGATACAAGCTGCTTGAGAGTGTCGACGCCAGAATCAGTGATTTGCACTCGATGGCAGCAAAGCAGGAGACTTTCAAGAAAGACATGATGTCTGTGATTGATACTGAGAAGATGCTGCTGGAGCGGCAGAAGGAAAAAGATAAACTTGCCGTACGTCAGAACTTTTCAAATCGAAGCAAATCAAAATTGGCAATTTAAATTTTAGATGCAACGAATGAAGGAGCAGGTTGACGGTTTGAGCAAGAAGAAGCAAGAGACGGAAGATTTGCTTTTGGCTGCCGAGAACAAGCTGAGAGAACAGAAAGCCAAACACGACCTGGAGAAGTTCAATTGGCAGAAGGACTACTCTTGTTTGGAACAGAAGCACAATGAGGTACATTATTTTAATTTTAATATTTCAAATATTTATCGTTATTCAAAACAAAATAATTCAAATTTCCAATCACCATTTTTTTTTAGGAGTTTTCTGTTTTTAGTTGCATTGGTTGTATTTATTCAAATTTTTATGAACAGCTTCTCTCGGAGCATCAACGTATGGAGAGCAGCCTGAAGCACAAAATCGAGCTGCAGGAGAGTGACCTGCAGACGACCAAAAACATCAACACGCAGCAGCAGAACAGACTGAACCACTTGGAGGACGAGGTGAACAAGTTGAAGGCGAGGGAGTTCCAAGAGCAAGCCCTCCGAGAAGTGATCGAGGTGAAGGAAGTGCGCATTCGAGACCTGGAACTGGAGCTCGATTCAAAACGAGAGTCCCTCCTCATCGAACGACGATCTTCGGTGGCCTCGTCTGCCACTTCCAAGAAGGTGCAGGAACTCGAGGACAAGTTGATCCAGAGCAAGGAACTTCTGAGGGGAAAACTGCTGTTGGAGGAAAAGGCCAACAGTCTGCAGGAGCAGGCCAGCAAGGTGGACCAGATGGCTCAAAAATGCGCCATCCTCGAACAACTTGTGAAGGTTTCCTTAAAGATTCATTTTTTTTTTTTTTTATAATAAATTGATCAAAATTATTAACACAAAAAACTCTAGACCAAGGATTCCGAGCTGAAGGAGTGGCATGCGATGGCGATCAACACGGTGAGTGAAATTGACGAGGAAAGAATTTCTCCGCGCTCTGTGTCGTCGGTGTTTCAAAATCTCGAGCAAAAAATTGTCGTTCTCCGTTCTGATCTTTCTGAAGCTGTCTCGCAGCTAAAATCGGCTAATAGAGAAAAGGAGATTGCCGAAGCCCAACTCCGCAGCGAGCAAGAGAGGCGCATCAGCATCCAGACTTCGGCTGAGGCGCAGGCTGTGACGCTCAGAAAGATGGAGAGGAAGCTGCAGCTCATTATTCAGGTACAAAGCATTCGCCACAGCAGGTTGAAGACTCTGGTTGTGGGTTGATAAAATTTTGACTAACCTAGTTTTCAACGGTGCTGTGGTTTTGGCTAAATAGTAGAAAGATAGAAAATTGGCATTAGTGGCAAAGGACCTTCTTCTAGAAACTGTCGAATTAACATTTTTACTTTTCATCTAACCACATCTTGTATTTCTACCTTTGATCTATTGTAAAATATGAAAAATAAGCATTCTAATTTTTTTTCCTTGTTAATTCTAGGAGCGTGACAGTATTCAACAAGTTTTGACTGCATACGAAGGAGATTTAACTATTGCTCCGAACCAAATGAAGCTTCTGCAGCAGAAGCGAATTGAGTCTGCCGAAAAGTCAGCCAAAGAGTTGAGAGAAATGGTGCAGCAGCTAGAGCAAGAATTGGCCCAGACAAAGTCCGGGGACACCTCTCCTGCCAACAGGGAGTTCACTGCTTTGCAGGAGAAACTGCAGGTATGACGAACTAACTTTCTTTTGTTGATTCAAGTAAAACTGATCCCAAGAAAATCAAAACAAGCCGATGATATTTTTTTAAATAACAAACATCTAATTTTTACCAACACTTGACCAGCGTCAAGATTGATTAGACGTTTGATAGACCTTGATTTTAAAAAATTTTACGGGTGCAGGTCTACTCAGCCGAACAGAGATTAGACGTTTGATAGACCTTGATTTTAAAAATTTTTACGGGTGCAGGTCTTGTCCACCGAACTTGCACTGATGATATTCTTTTTTTAAATCAGATCATCAAATAATTTTTGTCTAACTTTCCAAATGTGCATATTTTCATCTGTTTTTTTCCAGTTGTGCGAAAATGACCTTCAGAAAGCCAAATCACGAGTCACCGCCTTGGAGGAACTGAACGAGGAAATGAAGATGCTGCTTGAGCGGCGTGCTCTGCGCGGGGACTACAACCCTTCTGAGACCAAGGTCATGCACTTCCGAATGAACCCCCTTGCCCAAGAGGACGCCAGAAAGGCGGAGGAGATGAAGCGATTGAGAGAGGCCAACGACAGACTGAAAGAGAAGGTGAAAATTCTGCAGTCCAAGGAGAAGAGTTTCCTGAATGTGACTGCCGTTGCTGACGAGAATCTCCAAATTGAAAGCAACAGGACCATCAATGGTAAGATCCATCAAATTAAAAATTAATTTGTTTGACAATGTTTCATATAAATTTGTTCTACATTAAAATTATGTTGAAACTGAGATGACAAAAAAACATCTAAAAAGAGTAACGCTATAAATTCACAAATAAATCGCTCTATTTGTCACAATTTTTAATGATAATCAGAAGCTTAAATTTTTGTTTCCTTTTCCAGAGCTGCGAAAACAGCTGGAGTCTTCAGAGGTGAAAAACACTCGGCTGATCGAAGCTTTCAAGAAATCAAGCAAGGAGTTCCGTCAATCCCTATACCTACTCCTGGGCTACAAGGTTGAGCGCATGCAAAACGGCCTGTTTAAACTGACCAGCACTTATTGCGCAGATGACGAGTACCTTCTCTTCAATGTAATCATCATTCAAATTATCCATTCCATAAACTAATTATCTCTGGGCAGGTGCGTGATGATGACACCATCGAGATGCCCTCCACACCCTTTGCTGAAACCATCCAGGAATTGATCAGACTCCACCTGGAGGATCAGAATAGCTACCCAGCCTTCCTGAGTGCCTTGACTCTGGATCTCTACAGCAGACAAAGCTACACTTCCTAAGTCTTTTCTATTAATTTTTGCCTCTTGATAAAGAGACATCGAGGCATTATTTTGTACATTTCTAAATTGAAAATTCCATTATACAGCTGGAGCTGAAAATTGAAATTCCCAAATAAATATTTTCTTTTCTTCAAGTGAAATGCGAGTTGTTTGTAAATGATCAAACCTTTGAATTTAATATAAACTGAACATTTATTATTTGCAGTTTTTGTTTTAAATATAGTTACAGTTAACTTCGTCGTATTATCTACAAATAAATATGCATCTATTCTCCCTTTGATATGTGCAGGGCATTCTTTGTTACAATTATGGTACAAATTAGAACTACATCATCTCAATAATATGGTTTGTTGCTTTGTGTGTAATTTTCCAAGCTACTTGAACAGGGTTCGGAAGGGTGATTTTTTTATGCACCCTTTTACATTATTTAAATTTTCATATACTTCTTGCACCAAAAGAGCACTGCTGACTAGTTTTATATAAAATGTGTTTAGACGAAAATCATCGAAGTAAATTTACTTGTTTTTACTAATAAGGAAATAAAAAAAAATGCTGCTCACTAAGAAAGCACGAGATAAATTTGAGTGGTCCTGCGGCTTCGAACAAGCTATTCGTTCTCGAGTTTTGAGAAGAGAGATCATGCAGATCAAACACATTATTTTTTATCCTGCATATATATTTTACAACGAACATTTTTGCGTCCATACAGTCTAGTTTGATATTGATGCGCCACACAATTTGCTACTACTTGAGAATTGTTATTGATTGAGTGTGTTTATTACTTTTTGTTCACAAAACGCGCAAAACTGCTACTAGGCTCTTGCATTTTTGTGCTTTTTGCAGACACGACGACTTTTCACACCTTTGCGCATGTTTACTGTAGGCCTGCCTACTTGACCGTTTTTATATATTATATTAAATTTGTGCCCAATATTTTACATTGACACACATTTTCCTTGTGCCAGAGATGGGTCTTCTTTGTCTCACTGTGATGCATTTTTATCTTTATTATTTAATATATCTATTATTTCAGTGCAAAAGAATTTAAAATTTTTAAAATGACACCCTACCATTATAATACTCCAAACTCTGGCACAATTTTTGCAGCAAAATTTACACGATATAAGTTCAAAAGCTATATCATTTTGTTTCTGGGGTGAGGGTTTTTCTATATAGTTATAGCACATTTGCATATGAGTACACAATTAATACAATCATTTTTAGTCCTTCTCATTAATTGCATTCTTGGTATGATCCCATTTTCGACGCAGCTATTTTTCATGATTTTTGCAGAGTGTGTGAATTGAATAGTAACAACACTACGAAGCACTTTCCTTAAACATTAATTGCTAATGTGCGCAGATAAAAGCATTCAGTCGTTACTCTTTTCAACAATTTTTTAGTACCTTATCACATAAAAATGCTCGATTACTATTCTTTTTTGTTATTTTCTTTGTTCCAACTGGCAGACACATTAAATTTTTAACTAACACAAGCTTTTGATCTTCAGAAATAATGAAAAATGTTATAGCACTTTTTGTTTTAGAGGCGTTTGTTTCTTTTTTTCTGCGAATTCGTATATTTTATAGAAAGAGATTGTCAAAAGTGCAGATCAGAAATAGAGAGAATTGCACGTGATTCTTTTTTTTTTTCAGAGAAAAATAGCCTTTCTGGTCAGTGTGCTGTTGCTCTCCCTATAATTAGGGCTGCCGCCACCTCTCATCCAAAATTGTTGAAAATTTTAACATAGAAAAATTGTATAGAGATGAAAAAAAATCAGCAAGGTTTTTCAAAACCAAGTCAATTCAGAAATAAAAATAAAAAAATTATTAGAAATTTAATGATTTTTTTAGTCTATATCCCATTCTTTTAAGATCGATGATCTAAACATTTGTTTTTAAATGTGCATTAAAATATTCATGACCTTACGGGGTTAAAATTATTCAGCTTAAAAAAGTAGAGAGAAAAGTTTCTTACTTATTGTCCTCAAGAACTTTGTCCGCCGTATATTCCTGTGTAAAGTGTGTGAATCATCACAAAAAAGCACTTGAAACAGGGAAAATTTACATAGCAAGGGATCATCAATTTTACAAGACAGGTGAGAAAAACACCAAAGCTTTACAAATTAATACAAAATATAGGCACAGTTAGGAAATCCCTCCACGATTATCTCACATTCCTCTTGGAAAAATCTTAAGGAACTGGAAGAAAAATCTTAAAATCATAAACTTTTCTGTGCCTCTGAAAGTCTCATTAAAATGAAGATTAAAAGAGTCGTGCTACTTTTTACATCAACTCTCGCACAAATTTCAAAGTCTTATTTCATTGTAAAATCCTTGCAAGCAAATAAGCACACTGCACATCTACATCGGGGCGTATCCCAAGTTTTTCCGCTGCAGGAAGAGGTGAATTTCGCGGAAGGAGGGCCTTTCGACGTCGACGCGGCGCCAACACTCCTTCATCAGGTCGTACACGTCCCTCGGACAAGCGGCCGGCTTGGGCAGACGCACAAAATGATCCTCGTCTTCGTCCTGCAACAGGCCGAGCTGGTCCACCACTTGCTGGTTGGAGGCCAGGTGGTCGTACGGTTGGTGCCGAGCCATTGTCAGGATTTCCCACAGGGTTACAGCAAAGGACCAAACGTCACTCTTAGTTGTGTACTTGTCCTGAAAGGAAATTAAAATGGAAATAAATAATTTAAATAAGGATTTAACAGTTAACAGATTCACTATTAAAAAAATTACTATATAATGAAGTAATTTTTCAAGTCTTTTAAAGACAAGTTAAATTAAAAAAAAAAAAAAATGAATTTGATCCTGTTCTAAAATTTAATATTAAGACAAACATTGCACTTCTACCGCTACAAGAACGTTTTAATTTAATAAATATTGGAAATCTTTGTCTGTTTTTTTCTCTCTTTAAACTCACCATGAATAGACTTTCCCAGGGCATCCATCTAACAGGAAGAGCGATGGAGACACCACCCTTGGCAATGTGATAATAGTCCTCGGCGTACTCCTCGTTGTCCTGTGCAAAGTCTGATATTTTGACCACATATCCAACACCGACAAGACAGTTCCTAAAAGCAAAATAAGCGGTGAGCAAAAAATCCTAAAATATGCAACCTGCATTAAGCACGTGCGTTTCAGGTTGCATTCTGTTGATTGACAGGCATTTTTAAAACACTCACCTGGTAGCCAAGTCTCGATGAACAAAGTTGAGTGATTCCAAATACCGCATTCCAGACGCAATTTGAGTCGCCATGTAGAGTAAACAGTTGAAGCTGAAAACACAATGAATAATTGAAAATCAATTTAAATTGTTCTAAATAAATTTATTTAATTTAGAAATAAGACTGGAGTGAGCACAAGAAATAAATAAACTTATTTGAAAAAAAAAATGCCATTTATCTTCCGAAACTTACTTTTTAAAATAAATGAAACTTCATTTTTCTTTCTAATTTTAATTTCGTTGATTTCTCTCTACCTGAGGGTTTTAATTCCTGCGGCCTGAACTGCTGAAACTGGAAGGGTACGACTTCCTTCGGCGTGAACGTGTGAGGCAAGGAACGACCTGAGGTCACCGTGCTCCAGGTACTCGTAGACGATGCACTTGGGCTCCTCCCTCGAGCACATGCCCAGCACCCTGGCGATGTTTGCGTCCTCAAGAGCGGCAATAATGCGCACCTCATGGTAGAACTCGATTCTGAAATTCAGTTTCAAATTTATAGGTGAGCCTAGGCGAATTTCGGAGTTATTTATGGGCACTTGCGAGAGCAATAAAATTTTGCCACCCGAAATAATAAACATTGCAGCGCGCTCATGGAAATCGAGCGCACACGCTAAAATAATAAACACGCGCGGCCACCAGGTATGTGTGTTTTCGTCATAAAGGTTTAATTTCAATGCATAGCATATCAAGAGTTATGTCGGGAATGGGGTCGTAAAGCATAACAGAGGGAGCGCGTGTGGTGCCCGGGAAATATAATGATTATTATAATTTTATGCGCTGCGAAATGAGTATGGGAGAACTTTATAGCAGGTGTTTAGGTTTTTTTTTTTTGGTAGTTTACATTTTTCAACAAAACGATTTGCAAATTTTAAAGGCTGTCAATTCAAAATTTGCTTGAAAAAAAAATGAATTCAAAAGTCAGCTAAATACAAGCATATTTTTAAAAATATATTTAATTCGTCAAATATAAATTTATTTAAAAAAATAAACGGCTTTGTTTTGATCAGGGTTTAATATTATGCTCTATTTAATCAGCAAGAAAAGTACAAAATATTAGCTGAAAAATAAATCAAATCAATCTCAAACTTATTCTCTAGCGCCACAATCTTTACTGACCTCAATTTATGATATTTTTTCATTTTATTTAAAATTATATACAGCTCATAAATAATTAAAGTTTCCATTCAAGTTAATAAAAAAAAAATAAAAAAAAAAACACATTTTGGAAGTAAAAGAAAGTTTAATTTGAACTTACCTGTCACTCTCAGTAGTGCTCGGCTCGACAAATTTGACAGCGACGAATCGCTTGCCCTGCGTTTTGGTCGATCCGTACTCAGGTATTCCGTCCGCCTCAGCCACGTACAGCTGTGGGAATTATAATTTAATCAACGCTAATTTCTCCTGGGAGCCGCCACCAGTGGTGCCGACTCTAATTATTGATGGGGCCAAAGCCCAGTTCAGTGTTTGCCAATTTGCACTCGGCAAACTTCGGGCGCGATATATTGAATTAACTTTTGCGAGAAGATTGGGTCTGTGGAGAGAGAAAAAAAGGAGAAAAGAAGGCGTTGGGATTTGGGCACTTACCTTTCCGAAATTGCCCTCGGCCAGAATGGTCAGCATGCGTAGTCTGTGTCTGGGAAACTCGGGCACCACCGTCTGCTCCAGACGACGCTTCAGAGCTTCTTGTTGGTGGCTTGGAGACTGAAAAGGAAAACGGGTAAAATTGTTAACGGAGACAAAATGGCGCAATTTATTTACAAATCAATGAACAGTATAAAATTATTTAAGTTTGAATTAATAAATCCGCAATTTTTAAATTGAGAGTGATGGACCAAGGGAAAATTTCTAGGGGTCTGGATCCCACAGATTGTTTTAGTTAAGTTTGAACGTATGCAAATATAGCACAATTAAATATTGGTAGGTTTGCTGAGTAATTAATTTTTACATTTCTGCTATTTTATCTATTGTCTATTGTGTTTATTCAGTTAAAAATATAATTAATCAAAATATTCAAATAAGGAAGGTACATCCCAATTTAGGAGAGTATTTTTTTCAAATATTGTAATTAATTACATTGACAACAGCAGAAATTTATATAATTTGATGCTTCACTTATTTGTCTATTATAAAAAATCTTTGAAATAAAACTTTAGAATTTTTTGAACAAAGTATTTAAAATTAATATAAATAATTATATTGTGCAAATAATAATCACATTAATCACAAAATGTTTTAAATATAAACTTAAATTTAAAAATAAATTATCTTAAAATATTAATTTTTTTTTTTTTTACAAATTGCTAAAAAATAATTTATAATAATGCTTATTTCAATCCACTTAAAATTACAATTGCCTAATTGTTGTATTAACTCACCCTTTTCCCACGACTTCCAGACGATTCCTCCGACGTCCTTGAAGAGGGTGGTTTCGGGATGGGCACGTTGATGCCCTGGGGGTTGGAATTCCTGGAGAAGAGCGATCCGTGTTCGGAGCGGGCCAGAGAGTTTTCGTGGTTGCTTAAAAGGGGCACACTGCCGCCCAGCTCGGGAACGGCGTACTCGTACGACGTGTCTGTTAACAACAACACAAGAGAGGTGATTTATTTCATTTTATTTAAAACAGCCTGCGGTGGTGATCGGCCGATTGAAAGCACTTTATTAGTCAAGAAGTGCGATGTTTTCGGGAGCGTGCGATAAATTTTGTGCTAATTAGGCCCGCGCGCTATTAGCATAATAACAATGATCCAGCGCGGACACACCCAAGCCATCGATCATCGCCACTGCCAATTACCGAACGTGTCTCGTCGCTCGATGCTCCCCGAAAGCTCTTTCGCACAATTACCTGGCTATTACCGGTGATTTATGTGCTCCCCATTGTCAAATTCACGAGAGCACAACAAGAGCTTGTGCTGCCGACGACTTTTATTATATTGTGTGCCGGCGAGCAAAAAAAAAAAAATTGCTACATCATAAAGCTATCTTACAGGTTTATTGAAATATTGGGCTGCGGTCAGCGTGAAAAGTAGTTATTTATGTGAATTTCAATAACCAGTATCAAAAATGGAAAACTTTGTTAAATTTACAACCAGATTGATGAGTAGGATGCTTGATTAGGCTGAGTGAAAAGAATAAATTATGCTAATAAAAAAAAAAAAAAAAAAAATTGAACTGTCTCAACATGATTGTGAAATGTGGTATTGAGTAAAATTCTTTTTCCTTTCCAGAAATAACTTGAAAATCAAAACAACCAGTAGAATAATGAAATTGAGACTTGAGACTTTAACTGAAATTAAAAAAGGTCCAAACACTTTAATATTTAAATAATGAGCAATCAAAAACTAAACCTAGTTGACCAAGCTTTGATGGCTGCTAAGTTCTAAGTTAAATTTAACTGTTGAATTTTCAATTTACTCTTCAACATTGCAACAGTTTTCCTATAATACAAAATAAATCTTTATGTTGAAATGCAACAAATTTAATTTTTTACTATTTGTTGGTATTTTGAAGTTTGCCAAGTCATCATAAACTCAAAACGTCAATGAGGGTGGCACAAAATTCTTTGTGTTATTATTATTTTTTACTTCAATGTGCATTGTTGCTCTGTTCCTTCAACGATTTTCCTTTTACTCTCATTGTCAAAACAAGTCTGTTTGATAAAAAAAAAATTGATCTTTCCGGATCTTTCAAGGAAATGTGGCCAAAAATTATTCTTAATTAATTGTAATTGCCCTCAAAATAAACCTAACCAAATCACTAATACGGGAAAATTTAATAAAATTTTATATTTTTAGATCATTCATTTTTTTTTTCATTGTTATTGTATTATTTAAGAAAATCGTCATTTTTTTTTTAATTTTAAAATTGTAATCTTAAAAAAAATGTGTATTTTACCTGATTGTGGAGCTGATCCTCTGATGAGCGAGTCGCTGATCATGTCCTTCATCTCCATGACGACGGGGCTGTAGCTGTAGTAGGGCGCGTACTTGAGGGCCTGGTACGGCTCCTGGTAGTCGTCGGCCCTGGAGGCGGCCAGCAGGCCTCTGCGGTCGGCCGTGGCCGTGGTGCTGCCCCGCGGCTGGTTGTAGTTGTCGTCGACCGTCACGCTGGTGTACGCGTTGTTGCTGGGGCCGCCGGTGTTTTCGGCGCCACTCAGCGGCGCCTTCGACGCCAGCGGACTGGCAAAGTTCTTGCGCCGCGTGTACCGCGCCAGGATGACCACGACCACGGTTATGAGCACCACCGAGGTCACCACGCCCAGGATCACGGCGATGAACGTCTGGTCTTCTTGTTGAGCTGAAGATACTGGAAAACAGATTTAAAATTTCATATTTGCAACAGTAAAATATTTTACAATCAAAAGCATAATATGATTTTCATATTATGCCATAAATATTTTGTTTCTAAACATGAAACAATTATATTTAATTTTTTTTTCATTAATTCTAATTAAATTAATTTCATTGAATCATTCTTTGCATTTATTCAAATGAAAAGAATGTAATTTTTTTTTAAATGTAATAATCCAGTCATTAAAATACAAATTATAAAGAGAAAATTAATGAATTTTTGTAGAATTAATACAGAGGTGAAAAAGTTACACAAATGCAGGTATCAATTGAGAGAATGATGTGACATAATATTGGATAAGTTATATAAAATAAAAATATTGTTAAACTAAAATTAAAAAATTGTAACCAGTACTATTTTTGCGCAAAAATAATTATACAGTACAAATTATCTAAAATAATAAGAAATAAAATAAAATATTGAATAATTTATTAATGGATAAAATAAACGTTTACTTTGCATTAAATTGATTTAAAAAATACCTTGTAAAATTTTGTAACTTATAAAATTTTAATTTTATTTAAATTGAATAAATAAAACTAAACTAGCAAGATATATTTTCCTTGTAGTATGCAAACAACGTTCTTGTGCGAGTGATAGTAATAATTTTAGTGCAGAAACTAACCTGGGACTTCAACGTCCTGGGGAAGGGACGACTTCTCGACGTAGACGTCACTCTGTTCCGGTGCGTCCGTGGCCGGTTTGGTCTCGACAGTGAAGTTTCCGTGCGCGATGTCTGCAAAGAGAGATGGAAATTCTCCAGTTACACACTTTTCCTCCAATCGATATTCACTTTTGTGTCGCCGGGTTGGAGAGTAAAAGGCGAAGAACAAACTCCGGAGCACAAAAGTTCCGCCTGCGTTTGATATTGCTTATTCAAGATTGTTTGCCCTTGACGAGAGCTTTTGCAAAAGAATAAAGGTCCATTCACCGTCCGAAAAAGAAACTACAATCTACGGTGGACAAATATTTGCAGAGTCCGAAGAGGACTTTATTGAAAAAGGACAAGGGAGGTTTGATGAAAATTTGATAAGGTGCTTTTGGGATCAGGACTATTTTAATTATGCATAGACTAGTGAAAAAATAGTAAATTCCTTTTTAATAAAGTTGACTTTAAGCTCAAAATGCTATTGAAAAAGTCTAAGGTACTGTCATGGAAAATATCACAAAAATATGTTTGGGAAAGAAATAAAATTAAATTTAAGATCAATATAATTATTTTTTAAGATATTATCATAACACTGATTTTTGGAGAAAAGTCATATGAATGGAACTGAGATTGATTTTCTATTAAAAAACATCCCTTAACTGAATTTTCCTTCAAACTGGCATTGCTTTCAAATTCAAGCTTTGCAAAATATACGCGTAAATAAAAAATAAAACTGAAGCCTAAAAATTAGTAGATATTAAATTAAAAATCCTGAATAAATCTAAAACCGTTCCTGGAAACAGAATGGAGCAATTTTCAATGATCCATTGTTCGAATGAACTTTGGAAGGATTTAAAACAAAATTAAACTTTTTCCACCATGTTTTCGCTTGTAAAAATAAATGAAAAGTTTGATTAATGTTTGAGATGGGGTGCAATTTTTTTTCGGTGGCACTTGGCGGTTCAAAGGTTCCGCCGAGGCATAAATTATCCACTATGACAGCATCAAACAATTTGCTGTGAAAGGATTCCATGTCGGCGCTATTTTGGTTTTAATAAAGTCGTCGCCGGCGGGGAATGGCGGCGTAAGTGAGCAGCGAGTACGACTAGCAGCTCACTTGCACTTTCGCCAAAGCTGAAAACGCCGCTTTTGTACACACGCACGAGAGTTTAAGCCTTTGGCGATTTCATATCTCGTGGCCGATATTGAAAAATTCTTCGCCTCGTTAGCCAAGTCGGCGGCGGCGGCTTTTGTGTTTTCCAGGAGCGAATTCTCGTGTTTAACCGAAAAGGTGGTGCGCTTTTGATGAGCTACTTGGCCCCGGGGCGATATTTGCATGCCATTATTTCAGGTATGCCTTTATGCGCAGATTAATTAAATTCTTACAAGCATTGTAATTTTTTTTTACTGCGAGCATACACGCGCCTTTGTTCCGGGCCATATTTCACATTCCTTGGTGCAAGGATTACGGCCGCTGTCATATTTCATAATGTAAAAAAAGAAAGAGAGAAAAGAGACGCACACACAGGTAGGAAAAATTAAATGTGCTGGAAAATTGCTCCGAATGTAAACGGAAATTCCCGTCTCTGAAAATATGCTCCCAATTTTGAAGGAATTGGGCCAAGTTGCTCGGAAGGAAATGAAAATCTGGGAAGGGAAAATTTGTCTCATTTTATATTTATTGCAATAAAACCGTGTTTGTTACCAAATTTACTGTGAAAAAAACAGCAATGTTGGGCAAAATTTACTCTCTTTTCGCTCCACTTAACTCACAGTGAAAAACAATTGCTGTCACTTTGGCATTAGATTGGAAGGAATAAAATTCTCGTAAACTTGCAGAGTTCAATTAACTTCGAGAAGTAAAATAAACCTGCTGCCTGTGCTAAACTCGCCCGAACTGCCGTTTTTTTATACTCCGCATTTATCTAAAATTCAATTTCCCGCATGCGGCTGTGGCGTATTTTTTTTCCATCGCCCGTGTTTAACGTAAAAAGTCGGGTGTTTTTTAAAAATAGGACGTATAGTGCGGAAACACTTCCTAGAGAGACGCCTGAAATAAAAATTTTAGTGGCCGCCGCGAGCATCAGGCCACGTTGCTTTTGAACTGTGCTCTTGTGTGTATGTATTCGAGTCGTGCATGATTTATGCGACTGTGCGCCGCGTGCCTTTGGGTTTTGTGTCACCAAAACTCGCCCGGAATGACTAAAATATGAAGAGAGAGCGAGAGCCGCGCACAAAGGGTGGCTGCGCCGCCGCCGCCGCTTTCAAGTGGCTTGTTTTTTTTAAACATGCATTTGACCCTTCCCTCTCATTCCGGCACGCGGTGACACACGAGGTCGAAATAATATTTTGCGATATGCACGCGCTGTTTGTTTGTTTTGCGTTTGCACGAATATGGGCGTGTGTGCGAAATGACTGCAGGATTTTTATTTATACACGTCATACACTGCCGGGGTAAAATATGGTTCTGGAAAATTCTTGATAAGGAAATTCACTTAGTTTTTTTTTTTTTTAACAACAAGGCAAGTATCTCAAACACCAATCTTTTAATTAAAAAAGTTTTGCTTCCATTGAATGGGGAATTGATTTTGAGAAACACAGCAACAAAAAATGTCTCTCTTGTGAAATGGCGATGAAAATGAATGAAAAATTTAAATCGTATATAGACAATTTTTAACTTTTTATAATAATAAAAAAATTTTGGGTAAAAAAATCATTTTTGAGGATTTTAATTTATGAAATAAGTTTTTAAATAGAACTTTGTTAGAACAAAATTGTGTTTGTTTTAGGTTTTTAATAAGCCGCTTTTAAATTCAGCTCAAATTAAACATAAAATCTTGCAATTTAAAGAAATATTACTTAAAGAAAAAATATCACCAGACTTGAAATAATTTGAAATATTGTGCGTCCCATCCTATAATTAATCAAAAAAGTTTTCCACTCACCAGAATCGAAGGAAACTTCGCTGATCATGATCCACTTGGCGGCGAAATGCAGCTGAAGTTTGACAAAGCGGCCCACGCGGTGATGGAGTTTGATCGAAATGTTCCTTGAAGTCTCAAAAATTCTGTCCTCGATGTACGTGTAGGTGATCGGCTCCCCGGGGAAATGTTGGCCGCCAACGCTGAAGAACACCTTGGCCTCGGCGAAAACCTGCAAAGCGAAATTTTCATAAAACTTTTTGTGAAAAAAAGAACGTCTCCTTGTTGACTTTCCCTCCTTCCTTTCATCTTTTATAACTTTGTTGTGAATTTAATCAAAGTGAAATAAAAGAGAGGCAAATGAAATATGATTTGTGCCGACGAATATATAAAAATTACTTTTAATTGAAAATTTTTGTAATAAAGCGAGTCAAAGCGGGGCGAAGCCTTGTATATTTTCCCCGCTTTTCATGCCAAGCGTCGATTGCTCGCGTAATTTTAATACCGAAAGTGCCTTGATTTTTAATAACGTTGGCGGTTGATTGGCAAAAAAGGGAGTTCTCGAGTGAGAGGGAGAAAACTCTGAATTAATTTCCACAGGCGTGCTTGTGCGGCTAAATTACGCTCGCCCGATTCCGACCGTATAATAATTCAAGCTCACGCGGGATTTGGTGATTAATGTTGCCGGTTGGATGTATATGTTTTAATTAAATATGCGCAGGCACGCGATTTGAGAAGGAAAAAAATGTCTCATTTTTGGTGCGGGGGACCCTGCGGCGAAATTGCCATTTAATTTATTTTGAGGTCAGTCACGAATGTGTGCAATCAACAGCGGGGGCAGTTTTCGTTTGAAAACTTAGTGAAAATAATACATAATTGAAATATAATAAAAAAAATTGTATAAAATCACAATGATACCCAAGAGTCAGAAAATCCCTCTTTGGTCTGAAGAAAATTCAGTATTGATTGACATTTATGAAACTATTGAGCTGTACTGTAATAAAATATTATTGCAAAAAAGTTTAATTTTATGTAAATTTTATGCTGTCCATGTACTCAATTATGTTTAAAAAAAACTTAAAAATATTTTAATAATATTTTAAAATATATAACAATATTTAATAATATAAAAATAACTTTATTTGCAATTAATAAAATTGTCATAATAATACATTATAAAAGTAATGGTAAATTTAAATGATTAAACTCAAGTAGAATATTTTATAAATTGTTAGGTTCTGCAGAACAAATTAATCTGCTTCCAAAAAGTCATGGAGCTCAAATCGATCGTTATCTCTCTCCCATTTCTCTCCACTTCAAAATTTGAAAGCTGACGTAAAACATCAACTTTGTCGGTTTCAAAAGATTAATAACGTGTGTGTGTGTTGCCGATTCTCTCTCTCGCGTGCCGTCTCGAGAGTTATGCGCGTAATTCGCCCATTCCGAGGTGGAGTCTCGCGCGCCCACCCACCCAAAAGCGATTATTGCCAACGAAAAAGGGGTGGCTTCTCACATCTCCTTGCAGCCGCACGTCATTCAAAATTTCTCATTTATCGCTACACAAATATTTCATCAGAGCGGCGGCGGCTCCTCGTCTGTGTAATAATATTCCATGCACGTCATTAATCAGCAGCAGCAGCACACGCAGAATCCAAAAGGAAAATATAATAAGCAAGGCGCGCACAAGCTGTTGCGAATTATTACTAAAGCGGAGAGAGCAAGTTTGTTTGCTAATTAATTAACGTCGTAAATCAGAGTTTCATTAAATCCAGCCGAAATTTGAGAGAATACAAGTTTCGACTTGGATGGCGCAATCTGGAGCTCGGATCGAAAGTCTGAAGTGTTTTATATTTAAATGCATGTGTGTGTGTTCCTTTTATTTGTTTAATCAAAAATTCCCATCAGCGCCGACTATGAGAGGGTAAAAATTTTATGGCTCTCTCCGATGGATGAGGAAAGCGGCTATGAAATTTAAAGTTTTATTTTATCCTCTGAAAGCAATCATCATTTATGGGTGCGTTACACATGAGAAAAATTGAGTGCGCGAGCAGCTTGTACTGCTTCGTTTTGTTCGCTTTCGAGCGAGAGCTTTTCAGCGATTCATTGTCTCGTAATATTATTTCAAAGCTCGCGAAGCCCAAAAAGAACCTTTGGGATAGGGAAATTAATTTGAGCTCGTGGTTTAATTATTGAAATGGAGAACAGAGCTTTTCCTTGTTTAACCAATGTTTAATTTGATAAAAAAAAAAAAACGGTTTCAAATAATCTGCTACTGTCTGAATATTTGAATCAAAAATTAGTTACTCTTGATTGTACATTTCTCCATATATTTCTATTTCAATCATCACTCCTTGAAGAAATAATAAAACATTTCCTTGTTAAAACTGGGCTATTAAATTTATTTAGTGGCTATAAGCAAACTTTCATACATTTAAGCAGCCTAATATCATGTCATGATATAAATTTAAAAAAAGGAATACATGGCGAATAAATATAAATAAAATTTAATTTATTTCAAAGTTTTTGTATCATGAAGTTGGAATGAGACAATTACTGGGGCTGTTCTTTTTTCATCGATTTAAAAAAGACAAAATTCAATGAGGATTCTTATATTTTTGATAAGATGAACACGTTGAGTGGGATTTTATTAAATAAAATTCACTGGCTTAAGTTAATAAATTGTAAAATACCACGAGGATTATATAAAAACACAAAATTAATTTTCTCAAGACCGAATTAATTGTAATTCCTCAAATACCATTTCCGCCACCGTTTTATGGACTCTGGTGCCATCAAAGCACGAGAAGAAGTATCAAATTTTTAACGACATTTATATAAAAATTTTCTCATCAGTGTGGCGTGCGAGGCGGAGAGTAATAACTTCTGAGAGACAGAAGCCGCAGCGCATACCGGTCTGAAATGTGCATTATTTGCCTAACCACCTTTTGCCTAGAATATAACGCATAAAATGCGGCTTTACAACTCAATAAACTAGAGTTTTATCTCTAGGAAGTGGAGGAAGAGTTTTATGTCGCTGTGCGAGAGCATTAGACTTGGAAACGAGACGATCTGCAGCCACGCCTAGCATATTGATAAAGAAAGCAGCTTCTATCTCCGTATATTAAAATAGACGGAGGACAAACTGTCAGCTGCAAGAAACGTTTTGGTTCAAAAATTTCTTATTTCCTGCTCTCGTTGAAATGCAACACATATTTTTTAAGTTAATCAGACATGCATGGATTTTCCGCCATCCAATCTCCGGCTGGCGACGGGACTCGTTTTTCTTTCGAAAACAAACAGAGCGCGGAAAAGCGAGGAGATCATCGAGAAGCTATTTTTTATACAAGTAGTGGAAACGTCAACGGCAGACATTACCCCGGTAATATCATTGTGATATATGATTACACAACGGAGAGAGCAAGTGTCGTTTTTGCAGTCTCTTCTCCCTCTTATTTCTTATTTCGGTCGTTGCGATTCTGGAAAGAGTCTGTCTCATCCGGAAGTATAAGAAAGAAACTTTCCACCCCCGCGCCATTATTTTAAAGCTCTTTCAGCCGATGTTGATTTTGCCTGGTCCCGGAGCAGTGAAATAATAATAATATTCATCTCCCTCCTATAAAGAAATGCACATATTCGGATTGCGGGGTTGGATATATAAATGCGGGTTTATTTAACGTCATAAAGGAAACGTGTCAGCTTAGAGGTTATGAAAAACATGCTAATACTGTACGTGCACCCCCCGTCACAGAGACAAGCGGGGAGAAAGAAGGTTTTAAGAAATCCATTAGAAGCAGTAGCGGTGCGAAGCCCATATTAAAAAATGCGAGAATGATTTAATGTTCTCCCAGCGGGGTTAAGCAGCTTGTTTCTCAGCCAGACTGTCGCTTTGCGGAGAAATATTGCCCTTTAAAACGCGCCTTGAATTAAGAAAGTTTCTTAAAATCGATGTTGTTGAAAAAAGTTGGCACTCAAAGTGGTGTGATCAGGCTTTTCTAAAAGTTAGCCAAGAAAACTTTCAAAATATAGAATTTTATTTTCGTTATATGCATCATTCTACAGAGAATTTTATGCATCAAAAATTAAAAATTTTCCATTTTAAATCGATCGAAAATTCAATCCAGCAAAAGATGTTTGTGAATTGTTATTATTTGAATGAAATTTTGCAATTAAGGTTTAAATTTATTTTGGAATTTTCAATAGAAAAAAGATCTTCATAGATTTTTTGACGACAATTAAGAATTTTTGTATTATTTGGAATGTTTTAAATATTTATTTAGTCTTTTATTTGTATTTTTTTTTCAATAAGTTTTTCAACAATTTAATTTGAAAGGTTACAATATCTTTGCACAGTACCAGTAAAAAACAGTTTCTTCTTCTGTCACTTTCTATATTATTTTCTGACCAAAAAGTGGTGCTCAAAATGCAATCTGCACAACATATCAGTCAAGGAGTTGCATAAAACTTTATTTTAACATATATATTTTTTTTATCACTCTGAATTTTATATTCCATGGGTGGTCGAGCATTTTAGAAACCGTCGTATTTAGCGAATTAAAATATATAACTTGCCACATGAAGTGTCCCCTCTACTTTTTTCCCTCGTAAGTTTTATTCGCTCATTCCCTCTTAAAATCTCCATAAGCTCGGAAAGAACCTTCTGCCGACCACCACAAGCGGACAAGATAAAAAAAAAAAATGCATAGCAGCGCACAACAGCGCGCGAGAGAGCACCCTTGATTTATAACCACTAATTTCCATGGAGTGTGGCCGAGTGGAAATGCTTGTTCAGAAATGCGAGTGGTCGGCCGGTCGAGCTCTCCAGCTCGGCTCTTGACGGCGAATGGAAAAGATGGGGCCATGTACTTGCGTCCAGAGTACATGCAATCTGCGCTTGTTTCGTGTACATACTTATGATATGCAAGTAGCTCTCTCTGAAAAGGAAAAGCTGCGCCGGCCCCCGGAGCTGCGTCAAAGTTTATCCGGACACGCTCATCTCTCTCCGAGCAACTCGAGCGCTCTTAATTTTATACTTTCCTACCCTAAGGTCATCAACCCAAGGAAAAAGTTTGTTTTTCCAAAACCGAGGGCCAATTAATGTCTGATAATTAGCTGAAATTTTTATCAATAAAGGAACTTGTTTTTCTTTTTCGCTTTTGGCACTCAGACATTGGTATGAGAGCCCTTTTTACAGACGGGGAATGTAACGCAAATTTACTCAGAGCAACTCGACCCCTTCGTGTTTTATCTTTCCAAAAGTATAAAAAAAAATCCATGCGCCGTTTGCTTTCTTTCTTCTCCCTTTTCAATCTCTCCTGCCTGCCCCATTCAGACTTCTTTTGAGGGCACACAAAATAATTGGCCTTATACTTTCTTTCCCCTCTCTCTTTGCTACTCGTTTTGAATAGCTTTTTTTTTTAAATATTTTACAAAAGTTCAAGACTCACCTGGACGTCCTTGGTGAACTGGTTGTTGCAGTAAATGTGCACCGCGTTGAACTCGCGCACTTTGTCGAACTCGAATTTGACTTCGACCGCCTTGCCGTTTCGCGTGTCGTTGCGCCAGCCGACCCACCCTTGTCCTGAAAGAAAAACCGAGTCGTTATTTTATTCACCGGCCAATTATTTCACGTCGTCGAGCACTCTCGAGAAAACAAGACGGAATAATTTCACAATTACTTGAATGCTCGAGTGGCTCATTATTGATCGGCGCCAATTTAAAGGGCGATATATTTAATGACAAAAACTGACGCAGACATAAAATCTGAGGGCCTGCGGAAATTCCGAATTCAATGGCGCGCGAAAAACTTTCCACGGAGGCGCCACCGAAAGTTACCTCTTTCATCGTAGTAGCCGAGTTTGAAATTCTCGGGTCCAACTTTGCCATCAGAAAGCATCCCGAGGCCTCGTTTGAGCAAGTCGCCGTCCCACACGCCGTCGTAGGTGGAGTCGAAGAATTCCCAACCGTTTCCTCTTTTGTCCCCTTGCGGCATGGAGTAGCTCACAATTCCATCTGGAAGAGAATTTCAGAGTTTAAGTATTTTAAATTAGTTAGAAACAAGTTTATTTTGACAAAAAGGTTAAATAGGAAAGGTAATTGTTCAAATTTTTCTTCTCTGTAAATGATTGTTAAAAAATTAGCCTTTCAGTTTATTGAACTGAAGGGTTTGTTAACACTTAAAAATATGTTGTATTTTATAAATTTATTTGTTTACAATAAATAATGATATTTTTTTTACCATTGACAAATTTAATATATTTTTTGTTTGTTTTATTTTTATTATTCAATTTATAAAATAATTTGTTTAGTATTTTTAAATTAATTTTAATAAATTAAACTGTTTCTCTCCCTGAAAATATTAATAGTTTTCAAAACTATGATAAATTATTATAAATATTTAATTCTATCACCCCCATATGATTATCTTGATCAATGAAAATTTATTAGTTTCGCACTAATATCTGCTATGTTTCAACGAAATTCATTTTAATAATACGTTTTATAAAATATGAAACCTACCATTCCAGTAGCAGCCATAAATTTCCACCCTCATGCAGACGGTTCTGCGGTGGTAGCTGTAGGGCAAAAATCGAATCTTGCTCGCCCAAATCGGCGGGTCCAGCTCATTCTTGGCCTCGAGGTAGGTGTTCTTATTTCCGGTAATCACCTAAAACAGAAAGCAAGGCCCAAATTGAATTAGATGATTGCTTGGATTGGTGCGGTGGTATGTAAGGGCCGCCATCAAATCCAGCGGCCTCTCTTTTGTTCGCCGCATCAGCCGCCGGCCGGCTTAAAGTCAATTATTAACACCCCCTCGAAAGTAGCCAGCCGAAGCTAACTAGTGTCTTTGGGTCACGCAACCAACCGACCCAGCACGCGAAACACCTCTGGGAAAGAGAAATTTGTTCTTGAGAGAGAGGATTACCGTCGTGCAGGGTGAAATGGGGTTGGAAACAGGATTTGGATCAGATTGAATAATTTATTGCAGACGTTTATGGCACCAGATCGAATTGAATTGGCTCTAGATTGGTTGATATGAATAATAAATTTCTGTGAATATCGGAAAGAATATAAAAAGGTTTGGTTGTAAATTATACATTTTATGGTATTAAAAAAATAATAAAAAAAATAAGATAACAAAATGAGGAAAAACCGACAGGTTCTGGATAAAATAATATTTTGAATCACAAATAGATGGATTATAAGATGTCTTCCATATATGAGGAGAATTTAGGTTTAAAATTTGGTTCAAAATGTCTCAAAAAAGCTATTTCACAAATAATTCATCACACATCAAAAATGAATTAAATCTAAATAATCTTCAAGAAATTAATAACCACTGTCTCAGATAGTCTAAAAAGGGTTGTATCTTGTATCACATATTTGAATCAAAATGACACAATTTGAAGAGAGATGCATTTCCAGAAATTAATTTTGAAACAATATAAATTCAAAGAAACTTTAATTTTTTGAAAAAAAATCAACTGTATCAAAAACAACCTGAAACAACCATATATTTTCAAAAAATAAGCTTTTGAATTTAAATCTAACTCTTCCTTTAATATTTTATTTTTTCCTTTCATATCAATAGTTAAAAATATTAAAATTACAAGATTTTAATGGAAAATGTGTGCATATCTGAGATGGCACCATTTGCTGTCAGAGAAATACCAATTTTCGCCAACTGACTGAGATCCAACTTAATTCCCACCATGCTTTACGGCGCTCGGCAACCCCTCGCGTGGACTTGGTAATGGCCGTGCGGCTACACATTTCTTTCAATCTTCATCACATCATTTCCTGCAGCACCATGGCTGCCACCGCGTACAATTTTTTCGTTCGGGGTGTGCTGCAGTAACGAGACCCCACCTGGGCGAAGCTCTTCGCTTTTTATTATCGGACGTGACATAAAATATTGGCAATTCGAGAGACGCACACGCTCTCTTTTTCGTGTTTGGACAAAACTTTTATCGGATAAAATAGCAGGTGCGATAAATATTCCCTAAATTCGGATACATTGAATTAATTAGAGCAGAAAATTATTCACAGATTTTACGATTTTCTCAGGAGAAATTACTCAGCTGGTTATCGATTTTTTGATAAATACTCTCCAGACACGAAAATCCGGTGGGGCGAGAAATCATCAATTTTTTTCTCCGCATTTGGCCGCAGGGGTGGAATGCTTCTTTTTACGAAAAAAGAAACTAGAAAAGCAGGAGGAACCCTTCTTGCTGTCCGGCTGCGGGAATAGATGAAAAACCAGCTGGCAAACACGCGGAAAGTTGGCGAGCATTTTCCAATTTCCCGCGTGCCTGCACACAAAATGCAGTCGGCAATCGAGATGGCCATTAGATATCACGTTGTCAGCGGCACACAACGCCGCCGGGGGTGGTGTCCATCATCGCCTGAATATCGCCCAGCCCATTTAACTCGCAGGCCATTTCGTCCCAACTTCAAACAGAAACAATCGCTCGCGTGTGTTGTGATGGAGTTATTAAGCTCTCGCACTTTAATATTTCTGATGGAAATCCACCGAGCTTTCTTTTTTTCTCTTTGGGTGCGTGCCGAGGCGATAAAACGAACAGCAACCCCGCGTGCGATAAATCAAAGCGGCTTTTATATTTTTTGATGGTTTTGCCGTTCGAAGCGTAGAAAAGAAAAGAGAACTTTGCTCCGATAAATTGCGTGTGCGGGGAAAAATTAATTGCTCACGTCACAGGCTTATCAAAGAATTTTTCCAGAATTCCACACACGAAATATTTCTATTCATATAAATAAATGCAATGGAATTTTCAACTTGCTGCGAAATGAGAAACGAAACGTTAAAATATGAAGGCACCAATTAATCTCCGGCGCGATGACGCTTGAGTTGGAATTGCGTGTAATTACACTCGAAAGGGTTTAATATAAGAGCGGAAATTTTTCACTGTCGTGGTCATTAAAATTCTACGAACGCCTTCCAAAGTGCCCGTTTAATTGCCTGTTTATCCCCGAGAAGAGGGCTAAAAAAATTTGACTAATTCACAGAGAAATCCTAACATTGTGTCGACGCGAGACGATTCTCGATTTGAATGGAGCGCGTCCGAGAGTGTCGCTCAGGAATTTTAACAACTTGGATTTCTTTGTCGCTGACAGCTTTTAAGAAATGATCCTAAGACGAACGAATGTGAAAAGAAGAAAGAGAAGAAAGAAAGGCCCGAAAAAGAGTGGAAAACAAAGACGATCGTAAAAAAAAGGGTAGCAGCAGCTTTGGATTGTTTTGGAATCGACAGACGCGCACAGAATTGAGTTATTTTGTTTAGAAATTTTAAACGAATCATATTGTGAACAGAGAAGATCAAAGAAGTTGTGCTGTGATATTGAAGTTTAATAAAAAAAAAACTTCTTTATTCCAAATAAGATAAGTAATTTTAAATTTATTGGTAAAACTTCTTCTCTGGTGTTCATTCTAACTAAGGCTTTTTTTGCGATATGAAATTGAAACATTCGTAAATTCAAAATAACAACAACGATTTTCTTTAACTTTTCACCAAAAATGAAAAGAGCGATGACCTGCAAGTACTTTTTGGCATTATTTCTATTTTTTTTTTTTATTATTATTATGATGAGCAGTATTTTTTACATAATTTCTGTATATATTTTAAATTTTATTTTTTTAACATAAAATTATAAATTCAAATTTTCAATATTTAATAATTATAAATTTTGGTTGTAATTTCGGTGAAAAAATCAAGCAAATAACTGTTATTTTAATGATATTATTTTTTTCAAATTGTTACTGTTTCTTTAAAACGAAGAACTATCATAAAATTTACCAGGTAGAATGGATTTTGAGATAATGGATGCTATATTAGAACGTTTGCACAAAATTATACACTGATTTTATTGGAAAAATGCGATTTTTTTTTTCAGCCGTGAAATAATAATGCATACTTTATATTAATCTATATTTGCGAGTTATTTTCGGCTGGAGAAAATGAATCCATCACTTCGAGGTATGTTATTGATCAAAATGACGGGGCAGAAAAACAAAATTTTCTTCCCACCCCGTGTGTGGGCGCCAGTGAGTTTTTCTCTCTCACTCTCTCCAATCAAAGCAAGTTTTGATACGTTTTGTTCGTTACGCAAACAGACAAAACCATCGCGAGTGCAAAGTTTGCCGGTGGCAACAACACAAAAGAATGAATGACAAATTACTCCATTTACTCTTAAGTGCATCAAATATTGATGATGGAGTGAGCGGCGCGGCAGGGCCTTCTGTGTGAGCTTTGATGCAATTCCACGAATAATGGCGCGCCGCTTTAATGGGTGCCACCACCGTAAAGAATAAAATATCGCCCGACAGTTTGTGTTTGCGAGAGCAGAGCGTCGCGTTTTCGCATAGGTAGGGGACCGTCATGGAAATGAGGGCGCTTGGGAATAAATAGCGTACGTACTTCTTCGCAGCAGGGGCGGCATCATGCGCCGCAGAGAATAAAAAACTTTGAAAGAAAGCAAAAAGACGGGAGAAAAATTACTCGCAAAAATCACAGGTCATTTAACTTTGAGAAGTTCCCTCTGGAGTTGATTTCAGTAGTTTTTGCACCAAAAAGGTTAAATTACGTAATTTAATCAGAAAAATTACTGCAGGAAATTGCCTCAATCAAATTCAGAATATTAATTTGGTAATTTTTAAATTTTAGCTTTAAATATTTTATAATAATTTTCATCTTTCACTGTTTCATGTTTCATTTTGCAGCTAAATAAATTTTATTTTCATTTCATCCAATTTTAAATCCAAATTTTCGCGGTCCGCCCCTGATCTTGTGAAGGTAAGCCAGGTGACGTCACGAGAGCTTTTGTTACCGCGGCTATCGATCCGCGAGAGTCGTTTCCATTCGTCCGAGGAAACAGACGGCTGCGGATAAGAAAAGCTCGCCGGGTCTATAATATTCTTAATGCTTTACCTCTTCTCCTTTGAAGTTGCGGTAGCGCACCCACTTGCCGAGTCGCGGGCGCCAGTACTCGAGGACGTAGGCTTCGGCGAACTCCTGACCCTGTCCGTTGCCGAAGCGACCCTGGGTCTCGGAGGCGGTGATCACGTGCACCTCGTGCAGGTTGATCTCGAGCCACTCGCGCGGCGATTTGGTGATTTGCTGCTTCGGGCACCACGCGCCGCCGTGACTCTCCGTGCGAACCCTGCAAACAGAACAAACATCAAGATTAGTCAAGAAATTATTGATACATTTCGTTTAAACTGTAAATAATTTTTATTAATTGTGTGCGGAAAATAATTTTCTTGAACAAAAGAAGAAGAAAATTAAATAGTATGTTCATTTGTGGTGTGTTTTTAAATTGCTTTATCTTCTTAAATTAAGAGTGAAACTGAAAACGCGGCTTTTTAATTTTTGAACTATTTTTAAGAATCTTTCATGGACTGAATATATATTTTTAATAGGTCTTATAAAAGTCTATGAAAGATTTTGATAATATTTGGAACTGCTAAAGGATAAATTTTTTTTAAACAAACTTCGAGGAAAACCTTTTTTCAATATTTTTACTTTCTCACAACTCTATAGATAATATGAAATTATAGTTACAGGATTTTGGATTTTAGTCGTTAAAATTTAGTTTCTATTAGATAATTGTAGAGAATCTTTGCGGAACAATGAATAATTTTGAAACAGATGCAGTAGAACACTGAAAAATAATTAAAAATTGACTAAAGAAAACATACTTTTGAAGTTTCCATTTACAGAAATTCTAATTAAAGCCCTTTTCTTAGCATTTACTTGATCCAAATAACCCTTTCATTTGCGATTGCTTTGCGTCTTCAATCGAAACTGCACATAAGACGTTGATTCAAGTGGCTTGCACGGTTGAGAAATTTAATATAAGTCTATTAAGTAGCAATTACACGTTGTCAACTGCGGCGTCTCGAGAGTATATATAATTTCATGTTGCTACAGCAAGAAGCTGCAAGACCTATTATGTGGCAGCAGGCGGCGCCGTTTAATTTATTGAAGTATTTTAATTGCGTCGAGGGGGTAATGAATGAGCGAGAGAGCAAGAGAAGCATAACAAACTTGCCCTGCTCTCGCTCTCTCCACCCGGCAAAGCGAAACTACATAAACCTCTTCGCCGAAATCAATAATACGCGTTTCACGCACACGTCTCTGTGCTGCCGGGTGCTGTAATTACTCAGGTATTCACAACACAATTACCAACCTGACGATCAGATGCAGCGAACACGCCGCCTCCGATAACTAATAGTTTGCAAATTGAATTCTGAAGTCTCGCATTAATAAGGCGCACCCGCGCTTCTGGGCTTTTGAGACAAATTTGTCAGAACGCAATTATAGCAACACCATTGGGTGTGATTTCCCATTTGATGTTGAAACGTGCACAAGCAAAATGTCAATCAATGTTTGCTTAAACTTCGAGCTTGTCGTTTGCACACCTCTCGCATATATTTATTCAAAATTTAAATATTTGATTGCGGTGTCGCTGTTTGTATTAGCGACGCGAATTTCAATTTACTAAAAAGTTGGAATAAATTTATATTTCTTACGGTTAAATATTATGTTGAAAAAAAAACATGAAATTTATATAAACTTGGTGAAAAGTGTCGATCATTTTCCACAAACAGTGGGGATGACTTTTTAAGCCTAATATTTTAATCAAAAATCTTCCTGGAAATTTCGTTTTAAAGCAAAATTGGCAATTTATAGTGTTTTTTTTTCGTTTTTTTTTTTTGCAAATTATACCAAAGTTAAATGAAATTATAATAGCATATTCACGAAAGTGGTTTTCAGTCTTATTCAATATGAGACATTTTCATTTTATGAAAACCTGGTAAGTAAAAATATGACAAAATCCATCATCATTCATCACTTTACAATTTAATTTACGTTTTGAATGAATTATTCAAAAAGCTCTCAAGCAAGTAGTTGTTGGAAGCCATTAAAAATTCAATTAAAACTAGAGAAATTTATTAAACCGACTGACACTTGTACGAGTGCACTTTTGCATAGCAAAGAACTTTGCTAGTCAAAGCTCTCGACGTTTCATTTCGCTCGCATGCTCTTTTCTGCACTGCAATGTTGACTTTGGCCATTGGCAGGCAACGGGCGAGTGCAATTAGCTCACATTGCAGACACAGCTGAATGCAAAGTGCTGATAATTAAATGGCTGCAAAGAAGAAGCGAGAGAGAGACGGACCGCTTCAAGGCCCCTTGTTGTCCCGAGTGTTGCCCACAATGGTTTTCGCCATTACACTCTCAAGAGCTGTACATCTCCGCCGCAACACTCACTTCATTTCAGAAAAGGCGCCCCCGCTTTTATTCAGTTACCCTGGAAACACCTCTCGTCAAAATCGCATTTCATTTCCACGGAGTGAAACCCCAACTGTGGTTTTTTCGCCAACTCTCTTTTGAAACGCTTCATTTAATTTAATACCCGGCTCTTTTGCGTCCCGCATGAACGGCGAAAAGCACGATTTTATCCGTTTTGCGGTTCATTAAAAAGCCAAAAGCACAGATTTCGCGCTCTTTGTTCACTATGATGACAACCAACGGCCATCGCATGCGGGCGCTGTTCTGCTGCTCGAAATTAATCCGACCGCATTTATTTGCCATCAAAGGAACGGCAAACATTAAACATTATGCATTAGCACAAATTTGTAGCGTGTTTCGAAATAATGTTTGGTTGGCATATAATTTCATAGTTTCAGAGTTTATGTTTCTTAATTAAATTCACAATTTCCTGTAAGTTTAATATTTTGACAAAGTTAGGGATCCTTGTAAGAGCTCAGATAATTTCTTTAAAGATTCATTATTCCAAAATATGTGGACCAAAATTTATATAAAAGAAACAAAAAGGTTGGAGCGTGTTTATAATGTCTTATTGTTCATTTAAAATTAAAAAAAATATTGGAGTGGGAAATTTAATTATTAAAAACACATATAAATCATTAAAAATTATTATTTCAAATTTTATAAAATAATCTGAAGTATAAATTTAAACAAATTATTGTTTGCTGTTATTTAATTACTTAAAAACTTCACGTCCTTGAAATCTCTCCAGTGCATTTTTTCTATGCGTGATGCTAATTGTAAATAGCCCCCTCGTCAAAAGTGCCCTGTGGCGCTCTCTCTCTCTCTGTAACTATGATATAAAAATATATACATTACTGAAAGCGGCTCTTTGTGCGCCCGAGCAACTTTTTAATTAATCACCAGCCGGCGCACCAATAAATGTGTTGAATGCGTTTTATCTGGCTGGAGCGCGAGCAAGTTTGGAACTCGCCGGGTTCTCGCCACCAGGGCATTCGCGGCCATAAACTTTTATTGCTTTATTATGCGCGCACATCGATTGTTGATATCAATTTCCGCCTTATCAACGCGAGACTGGCCCTTGGCAGCACGTGGAACCGGAAAATTAGAGCGCCCTTTTCATATGCGTTCGCGCCTCGGGCTATTAAATAATGAAATATAAACCGGGGCTCATCAAAAAAGTGACCTCTCTCCGAGCAAAAAGTAAATCTACATCCGACGCAGAGACGCCGGCGTCTTTTCCCCGCCGGTTTGGAAAAAAATATATATATTCTTCTTTTCAACTCGAAGCTTTTCCACTGGTTGGGCAGTGATAATGATGGAGGAAAAACGAGCACCTTTTCCCCTCGGCTTTCTCGCATTTATTTTCCATCTGTCATGCCAAAAAGAGACGAGACTGTCGGCTGACTGCATTAGCTTGGGCATCAAGCGAAAATCAAAGATTTGCTCCGTGAAAAAGCAGACACGACGCTGCCGCTTTTCGAACGAGTGATTTTCCTGCACATGCAGAATAAGTGTGCTCGAGGAGAAGCGAGAGAGAGTTCCGCGGCAATGATTCTGTCTATCAAAAACATAGCGCTCCACTGAGCTCAAATTTATTCGCTGCTGCTTTGCCGTCAGTCTCAGTAACACTTGTTTTGCTTTCACGGCGTATTAGCCCGCGCGTTTGTTATGCAAATTCTCTGCACGGATTTTGAAACACAAATGAAATTTTGACAGGTATAACGTTACCATATTATTTACATAGTAACCAGAACAATTTAATTTGAAGGAAATTTATTCCCAATTTCCAAATCTGAGATTTTCAGTTTAGTGTAATTTTCCAGGATGAAAAAATAAAATTTCGATATGCCCTTTTCCTTTTTTTCTCAATTATTCTATAATGCTGAAATATGATAATATTAATAATAAATTAATGTCATTTAATCATAAATATAGTGAAAAAGAAAAAAAGAATCAAATTGCCAACGCTGAGGTCAAGCACTATTTCATAATCTCTATCAAACTCAATTTTTGCAACTCATCTTCAGTTCATAAAAAATTTAAGGAATTTTGCAAATTAAAACAGGTACTTTTAGTTGTTTTCCTTACGTTTTGAACCTATTAATTAAATTTAATTGTGATTTATTTGTGAAATTTTCTAATGTATTTTATTCTGTACGGACTAATTTTCAACACTTTTTACATGTTTCACGTATAACAAGGTGAATATCGCATCTGGAACTGATATTGCATTTGCTACTCTCGTACAAGACAATTTTTCTTCTCTCAGCTGTCTCGCTGAAATTCAATATCTCCGCACCTATACGCGATGCAAATTTCCCGAATGCGTAATAAAGTGAATTCTTCTCATAATGCATCGGCTGACATCAATAAGGGGCCGGAATACATTTCAATAATAACAAAGAGAAAAGCGAGTCTTTTGAAGCAACTCGCTGATGGAAACATTCCTTTTTTTATTCCTTTTGCGTTGTGTTGTGTGGATATTTGCATGTGTATTGTCTCGTCGAATTTCTCCTCCATCCATCATCATCGTCGAGCCAGCAGTGCCAGCAGCTAGCCCACTCTTTTTTCTCTTTATTTCTCTCCGCCGCCGATATTGGAAGACGCCAATCGTCTCTCTCCAGCCAGCAGGTACCCCTCGCGTGCAAGTATGTATTTTGCATAACGAGCCGCCGAAAGAGAGAAAGAAAGATTCTCTCTGATATACATTTTCACTGCTGCTTTTTGTTCCTCCTACGCACGCGGCACTTGTTGAAAGAGAGGAGAAAATTGGAAAAGTCTAAAAAGCACCGGAGGCGGCTTGCGGATCTGCTTTTTCCATTTTCCGTGCATAGTCTCAGAAATTTCTATGCATTTTCAGGA